AGGTGACTTGAAGCTAATCAATATCATTGCAAATAGTTCTCGTCCCTTGATGAAGTCCCCACTTCTCCCATACAACTGGTTCTTCATGGACATGTCATACTTCACTTGCATGGACTTGTCCCCAGCATTGTCAATGACTTTCCTCAAGGCATTGGAGAGCTTGGCATCAATGGATTGGAATCTCACATCAGGAGCTTTGGCCAGCGCCTCCAAGTCAGGTTGATCTGCACGACACGGAGCTAACCACGCCTTCCAATCTTCATAGTTTCGATCTCCACTTGCAACGCAAACTTCATGAACGACACTTCCCTTCCAGGATGAAAGTTCAGTGGTCTTAGGCCAGGGTTGGAGGCTGATCTTTTCGGCTTCTCTTAGAGATACAGATGACTTGGATCTATCCCTTTCAAGGTTCTCCAACTCCTTGACATTTGTGTCGTACTCGTTCCTGAGCTTCTCGAAGGCTTCAGCTTCTGCTCGGTATTCCTGCTCTTCATCATTGGCACGATCTTCAGCTTGAGAGAAATTGTTCTTATAGTAATCTTTACGATCTTCCATCTTCTTCAACTCATCTTGAAGATTTCGAACTTCAGCGTTCCTCTCTTGCTTCATCTCGTCCAACTCTGCTTTCAGTTTGGCACATTTCTCTTCACATTCACTCCGAGGCATGGCATTACTGGGGTACCCATGTAATGTAGTCGGTCTATTCATTGATGAAGAAGAATGAGCTTGGTTTTCCAACTTCAGGGCAGCAATGGTGCTCGACATTTCTTCTACCTCAGCGTAACGCTCATTGGCCAATTGATGCATCTCGGTCAAATGGCTTTCAGGAATGGAATAGTCAGTCGCACCTTTGATCACGAGTCTTCTGTCGTTCAACATCTTGATGGACTTACCTGCATCCCTGTGAGCACGCTCAAGAGAGTCCTTTTGGGCTTCAAGTTCAGTATGAAGGCGAGCAATAGCTGTGTCCCTGTCATTGAGTTCATTGTGCAAACTGTCAAACAAGGTACTCGTCACATTCGGATTGTTGCTCATGTGATCGATCTTGTTCAGAGCATCTTGATATTTCTTACCAGTTTCATCAAAGTTTCGCTGGAAGACTTTGAGCAGGTCCTCAGTGTCAATGAGTTCAGATCTATTCTGCAAGTACAACTTGTCAACTTCGGCCTTGGATTCTTTCAAGCTGTCACGTTCACGCACGGCTTGCATGTACATCTCGTATAGAGGTCCTCCATGCGGTGATCTGCTTGGTGAAGATCTTCTGGCTTGTTGACAGGAAAGTTCATGATACTGGTTCTTCGATTCAGTCAGTTGCTGTTGCATTCGATCTAAAAGACTTTGTTTCATGTGTAGTTCAGAACGTAGTCCCATTATCCTCATGTCTCGCATGCCACCTGATTCAGCTAGAGATTCTTCAG